AAAGGCTCTGCGCCATGTCAGCCCCTCTTAGTCAACTCCCTCCTACTCACTGCTACACTCCCACATCAGCTATAGCAGACAGCTGAATGCACTAGCGTCCTCACAGGAACCTACCACAGCATAGGGTCTGATCGATTTGTAAAATAAATATAATAAAATAATTATTCGGTCCCTATCCCAGAACACAGTTCAAGGAGTGTCAACGAAAATATACAGACTCATGCAAACGATCTAATTTCTACTCCGATTAGTTCTCCAACAGCAGCAGTAGACAGATTTGGCAATGGTAGACTACTACAGTTCTAATCTGGAGCTGTCCGCCAGGTGTTAGAAGTCTGTCACACCTCAACTAATCAAAATAAAACAAATCATTTGCGTAGATGCATGTGGAAATAAAAATAAAATAATAATAATATTCGAGCACCAACTGGAACCTTCCTTCCTCTGTATCCAACGTACCAATGATCATCATCAAGCAACGGTGTCTAAGGTGTGCATTAGCGGCCCACCCCTGTGCCCAGGAACTCGCTTATGACCAGCACTGCCCTCGCGTGCAACGAGCCTTACGTCTTACTGATCTGGCTGATCAAGAGGCAGTTTAAGGACAGCCCCCAAGGCCCTCAAGAATTATTTAACGTTGCAATCAGGACGATAATCACAGCCAGTGGACAGATCAGATCCGCGCCAAAAATATTTATCGACGGTCTGGTAAGCGTCTGCAAAGGACTGGTCAGTCCACGTTTCCTCTATTAGCGCAGCAAAGAGCCTTTAGTGGACAAAGCAGCATGGCCTGCGTGTACTACTCCCATGGGTTGGCATGGTGACTGTGAACCGTGCTTCGACCAGGGCCCTTCAGAGGCACCGCCCTCTCCTGCCAGATGCGCCACTGGGAAGAATGTCGTCTCTCAAGGTAGAGCGCTCACGACTCCTTACACAAAAGAGAGGACACTCAAAGTTGGACTCACTTCCTCACGGTAAGAAGAGATTGAGAGGGAAGACAAGGTAAGGGAACAATGAACCTGCCCCCAACCACAGATTTGTCACCAATTGGGACGCCGTGCATTTTGATGACCGATCATAGCCTTGGTACCACAAACAATACAATGCCATGCCACCTCAGCCAAAATGCCATGTCAGCATGCTCTCATCATCCCACAAACATCCGCTGTCGCCACAGCCTTCCAGCCCCTCACCCCTCTACCCGGGTGGAGCTAACCAAGCCAGCGCCAAGGTATCCTCACTGCATAGACGCTTCGCCGACGCACCAAGTAACCAAGACACCAGCACCAGAATGGCGATATTCGAACCAGCTCCGATACCAAATTGCAAGGAATATGAGCAAGAGCGATATACAGAAAACCAAGTTGCGAAATCACACAGATGTCCAAGTAGTCATGTACAAGCAGAGAGTGCAAATGCACCGAGATTCCATCCAGATAAGAGCAATACAATGAACTCGTGAGCCAATGTCCAAGCCCTCAGGCCACACCAATACCGTATCCAATGTCGCTCCTACTCTGTCTGGCGCCCCGCGTCCAGCCTACACTACTCGCC